ATTACAACGAGCAGTGGCTTGTTTATCAACAGTAATTCAATTCAATTTGCGTATGAGTGAAGGATTCCAAAGCAATGTTTAACACCATTTCACAGGGATTTATTCCTCTTTAGGTATTTCCCGCACACTTTTATTTCCTTATTATACTCTTGCATATGTGAAACGACTCAAGAATAAACCATTTGCGTCGCAAGAACGTTTCTACAATTCTGTACCCATATCAATGTATATACAATAAATAGTGAACACAGTCTCACACAGCTTCTCGTTATACCAGAGACAAGTAAAAGAGGGAGCTTGCATGCAAGGCGGGCTTTATTTCCAGATATGGTATGCCATCTGGTCCGCTTGTTCTTTGTTTTCGTTGGAAGTACTCTTGCTGAGTACTTTTGTTAGCACTAATTAATGATGATTAACATCAAATGATACATACCCTACCTTATTGCAGTCTTTCTAGATAGTACACCACTTAGTCGCACCGTTTATCAGTCACTCGCGAATTTATATAGCGATTTCACTTAAAACGTGCGAAAAATTGTGGGACAATAAAAAAGCACTTGCAATTATCTAGCAGGGGTTCTCAAACAATTTACAAGGTTGCATACAATATTGCTAATTTATGTGATATTGCGCTTAAATTTACACGAAATATTGTGTAAATTTATGCCAAATCTAGCGTTAATTTTATGTGCGCTGTATCTCGCAGAAATTTACATGAATTTTTCGAACGGTACACACATCAACCCCATATTTGCATTACAGATGCTTCTTGCTGTATATAAGCATTTTAAATACAAATCTATTATAACTAAGCAAAACAGACACAACCAAAAGAGAATAATGAAGGAGCAAAAGGAGACTCAACTAGAAGCCATAAGGTTACAATATTCAAGAAGATAAACGAAAAACATCGAAAAGTGAAAGAGAAAGTGAGAGAGAAGAGTATTCAACTCAGGGGGTAAGTCACTCAGCACATTGTACCGGAATTATATTCTACACAGCTTGGGCACATCAATCGGCACATTTTCGGCATACCTTCGGCACAATCTCGTAGGCATTAGATTGGTGTAAATAAAATGGGAGTACTGCTGGACAACTGTCATTGAAGTTGTTCAGAACATTACGTGCTGTTTGACTGTATGTTCAGGAACATCTTCTAATTGAATATACCAGAGAAACTCAGACCAGCAGTTCACTTATAGATCTAAATACGAAATTTAGTTTCTAGAGTGAACTCAAGAGAAAGAGGCAGTTAATCAGACCTCATTAGTACCCTTAATTCAAATACTGCTGCAACTCACACAAAACAAACTAAAGAAGTCTATTCATCACCCTCTATAGTCGGTCTCCAACAATGCTCCCCACCGGTTCCAACTCTTTCCGACTAGGTTTCTGGTCGGCCTTTGATGGCATTATAAAACACTAAAACACAGGACTTTTATTACCCTATGGAACACAAAACATCGAAGTTTCGCACACCCGCCACTTCCCGTGTCATCCTTAATCCGATTTATCCTTGCGATTTCAAACCAAAACATTCAAGGTGTCAGAAATACTGGGTCTCCGGGAGGGGTATTTTACAAACAATCGCAGCTTGCTCTAATACCGGCACAATCAGCATACTTGCGGCACACTGACAAAAAAGATGACCCAAAATTGGTGTGCGGAGTGACCTACCCCTTGATTCAACTACAGATGCCGATTATTCAACAGGACTCAACGAGAATCGAGATGACAAAGATTCAACAGCAAGGACACAATACATAACCGGGAAGATCTAACTGATTACAACTAGATATAAAAATATAAAATGCATCATACTACATACGTGCCATCTACAAAGCATAATAATAGTATATATGGCAAACATTTCTCATCCATCAAAACACTGCCGGACAGTGGAAGTTGGATTGTAAATACATACATACATACAGATTTCATTTTTGACGTAGAACTACGTCTTTGTCGACTATACTGGAGTGCAAATCGAAAAATATGTGTGGTGAAATAGTGTTAGGTTTTGAACGCTTGTAACTTTGTCATTTATAGATGAAATTAAAATTCAAATACACCAATCGATAGGATATTACATTACAAACCTGCTGAAATAATTTGTTTTCAAATTTTTAGTAATAAAACTTTTGAAAAATGTACAAATGATTATTTCATCACTGTTTTCATGAAATAAGCGTTTTCGCCAAACCCAGTCATCATAATCGAGTACCACTTCGTTGCACATCGTTCTGAGAAGATATAAAACAGCGCTGCTGTCACGCTTCTGCTCATTACCGCTTCGGACGGCGTGGCGCTTGGTCCTGCAGTAAGCAGGAGCAAGTCAGTGGTTAAAGGTGATTTGGGTCCGGTTCAACTAAAAGGCTGTTCATTAACTACGAGGGGGAGGTAGGTGGGCAAGAGTCCCAAAAATTGTCTACGTAGTTAATGAACAGCCCCTAATACGAAACGCGGAAAATAACATGCAAAAAAACCCCCACCCCCTCCCCTATAACGACAACCTGAGCCTGAACTACAATGTAGTAAACAAAATTTTAATTCCGTTAATTTTTTTACCCAACTACTGCCCAGAGAGTTTTGAATTTGAGAAAAAAAAACGCTCACAATATTTTGATGTTATTCTGTGGGTTATTTACCACCAACTGACTGTAAAACATATCTGGTACCTCTATATATGCAATTAGATAAACATCCGAAGTCCATCCTTTTTTACATATTGTGCACAAAAGATACTTTCTGCCCCGCCCCATTCATAAAAAAACGGTGGGAAATCCTGCCAGGGGCGGGGCTTAGAAAGTATTTTTTGTGCAGAATATGTAAAGGAGGAGGGACGTCGGATGTTAACCCAAATGCATATACCGTGCATCGTAGAGAAAGAAGCTGTTTCCAATTATCGAAATTACTCAGGAATGCTTGTGTGATTAGGAACCCGCGTTTCAATAAAATCCTATTTTGATAAGATTGTTCATTCTTTAGTGTTATTAGAAACTAGAAAGTTGGACTTTTTCACCAAACACACCTTTTTCATGTCCATATATAATATTCATACAAAAACACGGCATACATTTAGACACGCAGTGCGAAAATGACATGAATAGGTCCAACCAAAATCCATTACCCTACACCTGGGCAAGTACACGAAACGAAAATCAATTATTTTATTCATATGTTTCACTTGTACATTTTTGCCAAAACAACAGCCTTATACATTTCATAAGACATACCACATAGGTCCTATAATAATGCATAAATGGTATGTGTGACCGCTTATACATTTCATTTGACACATGATCTTCAATAACTTTTTGCAAGGCGTCTGCTTATTAGTTGACTTATACATTTTATGAATAATCAGCAATAGAAATTTGCCAAAAGGTATAAGGAAATTTCTATCCGTGTAGAAACGCGTGGGGAAGTTGAAACGATAGATGTAGCTTTAAGCGGAAGTAAATAATCATTGAGATCATTTCTAATATAGTTTGCGGTAGTACACAATGCCTCTCAAAAATAATTACAGTGAATATTCACTTCCACTAAGAGGTGGGGGCGACCCCGGTGTAGTGGTTGACATCCATACCTCTCACGCCAAAGCTACGAGTTAAAATCTCACCCCCAGACAAGTCACGAATGACCCGAGAGTGTTAAAGTTAATATAATAATAATAATAATAATAAAAAAAATAATAAAAAACTTCCACTAAGAGATACACGCACACTAAGATTTTTTTACAGGAGTCAGTATTTTTTTACTGGGTTTTTGAATTGCTGAAAAAGTCGGTAAAAATTCAAATGACCGTTATCCGTAAGGAATCAATTAAATCGACCAATTTTATTTTCTATAATTAAATGGGGTTAACAGAACTAAGTATGCACAAGTTCAGAACAAATTTTCTCATTAATAAATTTCCCACAAATTTTTAAACTTTTACCGAACAGTTCCGCAATTCAAAAACTCAGTAAAACCGTACTGACTCGATTAGTGTGCGTACTGTTTCAACTTGCATCGGCGTACCTTAACTATGATGTTTACTATCAAAACATTAAACAGGTGGAGAACCTGTATACGAGCTTTTGCTCTGACTTTAAAATTCAATAGCTGAATCCCCCAATTTTCAATAAATGTTGTACTAAGCACCTACTTATTGGAAACCAAACGTTTAATTTGAGAAAAGTCACAGTATTCTATTTTGCAATCATTCTACGAACACACTGTAAAGTACAGAATTATGATGCATGGTAATTTTATGTTAGGGTTGTTCTCCAAATTGAAGAACAAAGAGGTGTTTAAACCCCGTATGATCGTTATACCCCTTCCTCCCCTACTTCGTTGACATATGAACCAACATTGTGTTCAATATTTAAAGTACCGTCTTCTGACAGGTAAAACAACTCTGCCTGTTGCGTTATCATAAAATGCAATCTTCACTTTCTTCTCTGCTTCAGAAACCTAATTTTAAAATAATGATGGAGCTACTGAAAAAAAATAATGCATTTTTGGCAATTGTTTTATCCCACAACATGCATAGCGTTTTTGTGTACTATACTGAGGTGCAAATCAACAAAAAAATGTGTGACGATATAGTGTCAGTTCCTATTGTAGTCGATGTCGATGTCAAATTTAGTGTACATTGATCACAGCAAAATAACTCAACATTGATCAACCCAAGGTAATTATGTAGGGGAAATTCTGTCAATTCTTAACCATTACATTAAATTGAAATACATTATCTCATGCGTAAGATGAACCGTGGTCTGATTATGCTAACATGAATTGTCGCAAGTTTTGAACCATAACGGAAACATTGAAATACTTGAAAAATTTAATGCATGCAAATACTTGAAAATTTTAAAATGCATGACATACATCAATTTTGCGTAGTTCTACGTCATACTGCGGTCGTGTCTAGGACACAACTCTTTAATTTTTTTTTCAAGCGGTTGCGCTTCAATGATTACCAGTATACATATGACGGATATAAGAATACATACCTATTAATCTTTGCTTGATCTGTAATGAAAACAAAAGAAAACAAGTATTAGTGATTGATCAAGGGGTGGTCTCTCTACACACTTATTTTGTGCCAACATTTTTCTCAGTGTACCTCAGTGTGCCGCAACTGTACAGGCCAAGGGGGAGAGGTGGCTGTCAAATACGAACAATCGTCGCCTACCTCGCATAGCTGGTTCCAAACGTAAACAAGCCATAAGAAACCTACAGCGTTTTTTTACGTTTGGAACCAGTTTCATACAAGAATGATCAGTAGGCTTATTTGACCCCCCCCCCCCCCAGGTACAGGCAGTGCCAAGAAGCCATTGATCTGACTTTTATTTGCTTGTGAATAATGCCTTGTTTGGCAACCCGGTATTTTAACAGCTCTTGTTTTTGTTTTGTTTTTCAATGTTTTCAAAAACGACACGGACTCCAGTTGGGACTACACACTGGATGCATCCGTCTCCAAGGATGCCTGCAACGGACGAGCTCTGTTGCTACACGATTCTTCCATCTTCGGCGGAATGCCGACCCCGCACAACTAACGTCAATCATTATTCAACCAGCCCTTCTGGGAGCCGGATAAGGAAACGGATTTGCACCGATTTTTTTACCGCCCGAGTATCATCCGTCGGAAAACTGGAAACCAACACCGGCCGGACCACACGTCGGACTGATGAAGGGCCCGACCCGATGACCCGAAACGAACCAGCCAACCGACACAGCAACAGGGCGTAGTTATGATGGTCTACGGACTCGGTACCGCCATGGTCCAGATGGGAGACGCCATCGCAGTCGAACCAGTCGAACGCAGCATCCAGCACTTGAACAACATTGAATTAATGGAAATGATGGTAGAAAAAATTCAAATTGCATGTTCCAAGCAGAACTACTTGTCAGAGTACACTCTGCCGGACAATTCGATCATCTTCAAGGTGTGCTGCACCTCCAAGAATAATCGCTTCCATTCTCGAGCAAGCTTCTCCACTTCTCCACTTCTTCAATACCCCACCCGGTATGTCCGAGGATCTGCTTCTGACTGCATTCACCACCAAGGACTACCAACCATCGCAATTGCGAATGTTCCCGCTGAAATCAGAATGTTCCTCCTTCGGATTGATCGAGTTCCCGAGTGAAGCCCTGGTGGTGTACGTCATCATGAAGTGCAGCCACAGCGCGATCGATCACAAAGGCACAAAATTCCCGTTCATTATGAAGCTGTGCTTTTCCTCTTCCAAGCCTAGGAACGGTACGTGGAGCAACGAGAACATCAAAAACCCGTAAGCTTGGAAAGAGCGAAAGGCCGACGCCGGTGGTGTAGTGGTCAGCGTGACTGCTTTCTCACCCCAATGGGTCTGGGTTCAATCCTAGTCGAGGTCGGTGGGATTTTTCTGAGGCATAAAAATCTCTGGTCACGTCTTCCATCGGAAGGGAAGTAAAGCCGTTGGTCCCGGCCCATGTGTGTTGTTGAATGGGTGCGATATCCTACGCAGGTGTGGAAGCTGCCTTCCTTCACATTCGATTTCCGTCAATGGAAGGCAATCGATGTCCGTCGGTGATTGGCACTAGATTGCGGAACAGAGACCGACGTTAAATAAAGGAAAGAAGCAAAGAGCGGAAGCTTCTTTTTCTGAGAAAAGAAAGAAAGGGTTTTCCTTTTTTCTGTGTAGTTAATGTTATGATTCGTAATTTTAATTTCTTATTGTGTTAGTTGGAAGTGCAAAAAGGCAGGAGAGTAAAAATAATTTGCAGAACTATTTGAGATTTTGCCAAGACGGTCCTCCAACATTATATATTGGAGGATGGAATGGTTGGTGTAGCAGCCACCGTATGTATTTGAGCATCGAATGGTCGGATGGTATAGTTTTTGTTTGATTGTTGATTTTCCGGCCGTGACCGGCCTAAGATTTCCAGCGTCAGCCGCGGCTACACGAATTAGCAATGCAGCTCCCACGGCTGCTTCTACTTCCAATGCTGCTGCTGTTCCTTCTGCTGGTCCGTCTCCTCTAAAATTCGTCAGAAAAACGGACCAGCAGCAGCATTGGAAGCAGCCGCAGCCGTGGGACCTGCATCGCTTGTTCGTGTAGCCATGGCCAGAAACCTCGGTCAGGTCGGTCAGGTACCTCCCCCCCCCCCCTATCGTGACGTTTTTCCTATACCTTATACATTGCTTGTCACAAAATCTTAGACTAAGTAACTTATAGGGTTGAACTATATCGTTCCTTTTTTGACAACAATAAAGAGTGCAAGTGAGAGGCTGAACTCAATATTGAGTAAAAGAACTCAAATTTTGGGTAGTATTTTTCCCCGTGTATGCTGTTTCCCCCCTTTTCTTTTAGAAATTTTACAAAACTTGGTTGTATTGGCTCTGCCATGGTTATTGTATTTGGTGAGCTTGTTCCAGTTGTATCGTTTTCGTTTTTGCAGTGTAGCACCGGTGTAGTGTAAGCAGGAATAAGCGCGAGTCTTTGACAGCTCAACATCATTTGTTTTTAAGCAAAGGTGTATCCTATATCTAAACCCTAAATTATTTCGGTGTACGGCAGAGTTGCACCGGTACCTACACCGCAAAAACAAAAACGACATAGATTTCGTATAATTTGAATACATCACAATATACTTTGATGCATTTTTTTTAAAGTTCAAAAGCAGTTTTTTTCGACGCGTTGTTTTAGATTGCAAAAAGCTCGTGTCATTTTGTGTACAATATCAAAAGGAATCGAATAGTGCGAGCTTTTTGCAATCTGAAGTGATGCGTCGGAAAAGGCTGCTTTTGAAATTTTCCAAAAAGCATGAAAGTAATTTGAACCTTAATTGATTATGATTCAAATTGAAAAAAAAAAACAAAGAGGTTTTGGGCCAACGGGAGAAGAGGTAGTAAATTTATTTTCACTCCTGCGGTTTTTGCCTTCAATCAATAAAAAAAATGATAAAACACATAATTCCTTCCTTTTAATTAGCTACGGGTGTGATATGTTATATATTTAGCTTATTTCAGCAACCTTATCTTCCAGCAGACGCTCTGGACAGCAATTTCAACATTTATAACAAAAAATTTAAATTTGTCAGCAACACTCACTGGGTGCATCCTATGGCTTACCTTCCCTACTAACATAATTCCTAAATTCCCGAGACATTTATGAGGGGTCGTAGAGTTCTCTGCATCTCTCTATAGTAAATGTTGGATTAACATACCTTTCCTATCCCTACCAGTTGTAAGGACGTGGCCAGGACAATCCTTAACTGTTGTAGCGGGATATGTCTTATCTGGAAGATAGTTATTATTTCCTACTTACTATCTGTCCAGTAATAGATATCTTCTTCGAATTCATAATTATAAGGCGTCCATGAGTGTTTTCGAAAGAAAAAAAATACGGAGTTCTTGAATCAGTTTAATAAATTGACCACTTTAACAATGTTTCGAATCTTTTGGAGAACCATCCACTGCACAATGGTCCAAAGCCGTATTTAGGAAGACAAAAATGTTTGCGCCCAAACCGCCAGTTTTAGGTAAATAGTGTCTCCGGGAAAGTTTCTTCATATTTGTTGGTCAATCTTTTTATGTTAGTGAAATTACAGTGGTCCACAAAATTGGTGATTTTAAAATACAAACTTTTCATTATTTGAGATACTGGGGGCGACCTCGGCGTAGTGATTAGCATCCATACCTCTCACGCCAAAGTCAAGAGTTCAAATCTCACCCCGGACAAGTCACTAATGACCCAAGAGTGTTAAAGTGACTATAATAATAATAATAATAATAAAAAAATATTTGAGATAGCTCAATGCAATGTTCTAAAAAGTTGTAGAACAATCAATTCGAATCAAATTGATTAAGACACTAAATTTGTATCTCTTATGGTTCACGAGCTATGATTTTTTTAAACAAGTAACCTACTTGTTGATGTGGCCCCTAAAAAACAGATTTCGTTGAATATCTTTTCATAGGATCATTTCTTGTAATTGTTTTGTACACATTTATAGCTTATGATGACGCGATGACGCATATTTTGGCTTGAGCAACCAGGTTGATATTTTGTTTATTAATAAAAAGTTAATGGAGATTTAATTTAAAAAAAAATGTTTTAATTCTCAATATCTATAAAAGGCGCAAACCGATTTTAAAATTTTTGATTTCATTTGAAAGATCGTGTTTTTAATTAACTTATGGATTACTTCCAAGGCTGTGTCGTAATGGGTGAGTTTGATTTAACTCGTGGTTAAAAGTGACAGATGATTTATCGAATAACCGTGGCTGAGTTCTGTGTGAAAACTGATCAATTTCCGGCATTTTCGAACATTGAAAATAACTCACGAAATGTCACGTTTAACCATGAGTTAAATTTAACTCGGCAATTGGTACACAGCCCAAGAAGTATTTCTCGATTACTTTTTCGAAGGAACGTATCAGCTTTTGTAAACAACGCATTTGATCGTCGATTTGGCGTAACTGGTAGCTCGCCCACGCATACTAGTACTACCATCAGATAGGGGAAAACTTTCCCAACCTGTTAGCGGTGTTAGTATGTGGGGCGAGCTATTAGTTATTCCAAACCGACGATAAAATGCGTTGTTTACAAAAGCTGATATGTCCTTCCGAAAAGTAATCGAGATTTGTAGCTATCATTCAGGCAAGGAGTGCTTGCGCCATCGAGGCGACGCCGCTACCAGCAGCCAATGATCTCGACGGGAACGACGCGCAAAGTTCAAGGCATCTCTTTTTATTTGTCCATATTTAAAACTTTTTTTTTTATGAAAATTGAAAAAAAGTTTATTGCAACAGCTTTAGGCTTGTACTTCAAAAAAATTGATGAAAATCTGGGTATAACTATTTTGTTGTGAATTGTTTATATGTGTAAAATTTCATAACAATCGGTTCTGTGGTTATTGAGATGTCATCGAAACATGAAGAAAATCTCCGGAGAATTTTGCGCGCCGTCATGGAAAATCCGACTGCGACCATGAGATGGATCGGAAGACAACTCGGAATCACCCATACAACTGTGTCTCGGTCGGTA